TCTTCAGGAGCAACAGAGTCAAACTCCTCCCATACAACCGTCTCAAGACCTGCTCCCGTCTCCTCTCCCTGGACCAACCAGTCGGAGTCCAAGCTTTCCCGAATCCGTGCGACTTTGTCATACAGATACTGCACAAAATCCTCTGCCCTCCCCTCCAGGGGGTCCCCCCCCCTCCAATTGAAGGAGGGAGCGGGTCACCAAAAACCCCTTATACAGGTGCTTCTGGAGAACCTCATTTATTATGCATGAATATTGAGGGCGCCCCTTGTAGCCCGAAAAGCATTCAGAACTGGAAGCATCCCAAGGGGCAATTAAATGCTGTTTTCCACTCATCCCCTTCTTTTATCCTAACCCGATAATACACTTCTCTTAAATCCAATTTTGAGAATATTCTCCCCTTGGAAAGATGGGCCAGCATGTCCTTCATCAACGGCAAGGGGTAGACGTTGTTCTCACAAACAGCATTTAAAGACTTATAGTCTACAACAAGCAAAGAGACCCGACTTTCTTTTTCTGGAATAGCACAGGGGTGACCGTCTTCGGCCATGCCAGCTGAATAAATCCCCATGCTAAATTCTTTTTAATGAACTTCTGCAGCTCCTTGAGCTCTCTAGGAGTCATCGAATAGAGTTTGGGCATGGGCAGCTTAGCTCCTGGCAGGATTTCAATGGCACAGTCAGTGGTACGGTGAGGGGGTAGTTCGTCGGACCTTTCCTCATTGAAAACCTCAGCCAGATCTCGGTATTCTTTTACGGCTGCTGCCACCTCGAACCTTCTCCCCCCTTTTCCTCCTTGGTTCCCTGCCCTGTGCCACAACCTTCCCTTTCGAGAATCTCAATTTTCCTGTTCTCCAGTTTACTCTTGGATTCCAAGTTTTCAAACATGTCATCCCCAAAATCAGGCGCCATTCCACACTAGGGGCTACAATAAATGTCATAGTCTCTGTGTGGTCCCCATTGTGAGTTCAATCGGCCGGGTGGCCAGGATGACTGGAACTCCCCCTGAAATGGACCCATCTAATTACTCAAAGGAAATGGGTTTCTTCAGCCTCCTCACCGGAATTCCCAAATTCCCCACTAGGGTTGGACTGATTAGGCAATGGGTGCAACCTGAGTCTATTAATGCTTTAAGGGCCACTTTCTCTTCCATCTCTGGGCTGAACAGTTCTATGGGTCTGGTGAGTGGCATGATGGGTCTACTTACCAGGGGCTCATCATCTGAGTCGCTGTCAGAAGTTTCTGGCAGTTTTTCTGGTGGGGTTGGAGGTCCTCCTCCCTGGGTTTTTGAAGGCTGGACCTCTACGACCTCGGCGCCTCTCATCGCGGTCTCCCGGGGGAGTGGTGGTGACTTCCCGGGTTTCCCCCCCCAACTCGGTCTGCCCTCAAGATTGGCGCTTTTGAACTGCACTCAGTTGCTCGATGGCCTTCTTTACTACATCTGAAGCAGGCGGTCAAACACAGGTTCACGGTCGGGGTCTTTACCGTCTCCTTTTTTCCTTCTGAGAAAGAACATCTCCAGGTTCGACCCAGTCGCTGTTGGCTACGTGTCAGGTCAATTTCTGCCTCTTCCACCATGATGTACAAACCGTGAAGATGCGCTGGGTCCCCCCGGGCAATGCAGGCCTGGTAGAGATCATCATTGAACAGGCCAATCAACATTTCTTCTGGCCAGTTGAGGTGGCTCGCCAGGTCTTGAAACTCCTCAGTGTACTCGGCCACTGGTCGCCTGGTCTGCTTTATTGTCTTGATGCGTTCCCTAGCTTTCCGATCTGCTAGGGGGTCCTTAAACCTCCGTCTCAGGGCTGCCAAGAACAGGTTAAAAGTTTGGAGCTCAGGTGCATCAGTGTTATGCAGGGTCACCATCCACCTGGCTGCAGTGCCTTTCAGGGCCAGGGTTACGATCCTGATGCATCCGTGATCCCCGGGGATGTCTCATTTGTATTCATGCATGTAGCTCAGGACGTGGGCTAGGAAGAAGCCCAACTGCTGGGGCGATCAATCATACTTTACCCCCAGGGCCGGGACTTTGCAGTTGGGTGGATGAGTTCTCCTTCTTCTAGCCTGGTGTCTGTCTCCTCAAGCTGGGGTGACATGGGCTGGGGTGGCAGCTTTGGCTGCTGCTCCCACAACTTCCAAAGTGCTTGTAGAAAGGCCAGGGTTCACGAGCTCACTCTCCCCAGACCTCTTCTTCTTCATCCCATCCCATACCCACTGAGCCACGGCAGGGATTGGCTTCTTCTTCCTGGAGGTTTTTGAATGCCTCCACCAGCATGCCGATGGCTTAAGAAAATGTTTGGAGCAGCTGGCCTCTCACTCTCCTCTTCACTGATATTGAGTGATCTTTCCATCTCACGCTTCCAACCAGGTTGATGGCTGCCATGCTTGAGGGTTATTTTTCTGGCTTTCATGTCCCAGGCATCCTTCTTCCCAACTCTGATCGGCCATCTCAGTTTCTCATGGGTGTCTGCCTCATCAGACAAACTGGAAGAGTCTGAGCTGCTGCTACTCAGGCAAGCCTTCAGGGGGGCCTCCTCCAAACGCTCGCTTTCCCTTTTCTCACTGCCGTGATTAAATATTATTTTCCATGGTCCCCACAGTAGGAATTGTTCTCCGGGGTTGACCACTTTGCAGATCCTGCCTAATGTAAGGACCTGCCTCCATTTCTCTACCAAGAAAGCAGAACACTTGAAACTGGCATCATTTCAAAAGGAACTTTTATTGGCAGGTACAGAAAGCAGGAAAGCTAGGCAGGATCTGAGGGCTTCCCACCCAAATCAATAGGTTAAACCTGCAAAATAATAACCCCACCCCAACTGTCCATCCGATCGGTTCAAACATGCTAATCCATAAGTGACATTGAGCTGTGGGAAATGAACCAATAAGGTGCCTCTCTCAAGGTTGTTAGGTCTTCGTCGTTTCCTCCCTCTGCACTGAGATAAGGCAGATGGCCCCGAGGCATTCCTTTCACACCCCATAGAGGATACATCAAAGCAGACAGAGAGAGCATTCTACATGCACTACAAAGCCCCCTGGTCTCCCCCCCCCCAGGAGAATGGCAGAACCTGAACAGCTTAACCACAGAGAATATAAGTAATTAATAATTGAGGGTTCTGATACAATGGATGGAAACTAATCAAAGAAAGAAACAACCTAGAACTAAGGAGAAATTTCCTGACAGTTAGAATAATTAATCAGTGGAACAACCTGCCTCCAGAAGTTGTGAATACTCCAACACTGGAAGTTTTTAAGAAGAGACTGGACAGCCATTTGTCTGAAATGGTATAAGGTTTCCTGCCTTATACCATTTCAGACAAAATGGGGGTTGGACTAGATGACCTCCAAGGTCCCTTCCAACATTGTTGTTGTTGTTGTTGTTGTTATTATTATTATTATTATTATTATATCTTTTTCTCCAAAGTCACTTTACTCTATGTTACACAATTTACCACATAGATAGCTAAGGAGAATTCATACAGCTATTTCATAATGAAATAAGAAAGTCCTAGCAGAATTTGGAATATCAAAAAAGATTCATACCACAAGCCATGGATCTTGAGCTCCTCCTGCTTTCTTGGTTAAGATTTCAATCAACTCCTGGACCTCACTTTCATCAAAAAATGTATTTCTGATTATAGAAATCAAAGTTTTGTAGGGAATGTAAGGAATGCTATCATCATCTATGGTAGCTACAAAAAAAAGTTGGTAAAAGAGAAGCAACTTAAATGTTTGAAAGACATACTTATTAGCAAAAATAAATGTTACATGACTGAAAATGTGTGAAGCTTTTCAGCACTCTTTCCTTTATTAATTATTTGGGTGACTTCTTTACAAAAATTGCCTCATATTGTACTAAATCCAATCAACTTGAAAACCCAATATAATGTTATTAATCCATCAACGTGTTGATCTTCCAGTGGAAGGTTAGCCTTGTAATCAATTGAAGCAGAGAAGTTCTTAAACTTGAATTGAAAGGAACCTGATTTTTGGTGCGATTGCCTCATTACTGGCAATCTGATCTCCATTTCCTTTGAACTTCAGCAAATGGACACTGAACACTATTTGTAGTATTCTGAAAGATGGATGCCCTTATACTTTGTAAAATTCTCTTATCCTATCTTTTTACTAAAGAATAGTTGAAGGATTAAGAGTTTCCTGAATTATTTATTATGAGGAATTCCAAGCAATTACATAAAATATGTTATTTACTATTATTTACTACAGTGGAAAATAATTCATCTATCTTGTTCAGAAATATGAAGTTCTACAGAGAAAATCTTGCCTATCAGATTGATTGATTGATTGATTGATTGGCTAATTTAAAAGTCTTATAAAAACCAGATCTGGTATACAAAAGGAAATTAGATCTGAATATTAATGTGCTGAAGACCAAGATGGCTGTGTTTTACAGTAAACAATTGAGTAAATGAGTAAACAACTGCAATGGCAAAAAAATAGAGGAAAGAGTACTATAATTTGTGTTCCTTAGCTAAATATTTATCTGAACACAGGAAGATAATAAAAGATTAAGATGGGTAAATGCTGGTAAAAAGTTAATTGATAGTACGTAGACTGTTTCAAGGAACAATTATTTGTCAAAAAATTAAAATTGCTACATATAAGAGCATACTTCTGACTACCATGTTATATGGAAATAGAGATATAACAGGTAATACACAAGTAAAATGAATGCAGTATAAATAGGTTATTTAAGAAGTGAGTTGTGGTAAAGCAAGAGAGATAGGGTCACATATGATTGGGTGCTGAATGAATGTTGAATAAATATAATAGTGAGTGATAGGTACAAAACAAATAGTTAAGGAGATTTGGTCATATAATAATAGGAATTCAAATCACAAAACAAGTATTCAAAAAAAGAGTGAAAGGACTAAAAGAAGGGGAAGATGTTGCTGGATGATGATGAAATCCTTAAAAAGAGAAAAGTGGAAGTTTAAGGAAAAAAAGGAGCATATGAAATAGTGTGGGGATATGGTAGAAATGAGGATGGAAAAATATGGAGACCTAAAATGAATAGTGACTGCTTCTCAGTTATGGCATTATTTTACTCTGTTAATAGCAGGTTTTGATCTACAATCATACATAAATAAAGAATATAAAATGGAGTAACATATATATGAAGATGTTCTACCTGTAAGTTTTAATATATTTGCAGTAACTGACTTACTTGACTCTCTCTTCTTTTTAACACTAGTTTTCTTTTTATATTCTCTATCATGTTTCAATTCTTCTTGGTTTCCAAGATCTTCTGATGTTTTGACAGTGGCCAAGTTAATAAATGGGCTATGCTGCTGAGATCTCAATGTTGAAAAGGCACTTACTGGCACCTCCTTGGGTTTCCCATCAGAAACCAGTTCATTTGAAGTTGTGTACTTCTTTTCTTTCTTTTTCTTGTCTTTAGGAGACGGGTCTGACTTTTCCACCTGAGGAACAACTGAAAATGATGTAACTGGTAACTGAGAGGCTATTGGTTCAATAATCAAAACTGGTTCAGGACTAGCATCTTTAAAACTATCAGTATTATCCAATCCCAAATCTGGCTCAAGTGTTTTTCCATTAGGTTTTTCCTCCCCCTTTTTCCCTTTTCCTTTCTTTTCCACAGGTCTCTCTTTCTTTTTCTTTTCCATCTTATGCTGGCTAGCTTTTTCCAGCTCCTTGTGCTGTTTTGCCAGAGCTTCTTCATAAGTTGTCTCTTTCATAGAAAAGGTGGACACCAGGAATATTCCAATAGCTGAGATAAACATGAATCCTCCAAAGGCCATGACTGCAAACATCTGAGGGTCATAAAATTCCATTTCTTCTGCCTGATCTTTGTCTGAAAAACACCAGAGGAAGTTAATGCAATCTATAAGGATTCAGTATTTAAGTTACAGCTGTGTTTCACAATCTCGGTAACTTTGAGATGTGCGAGTGTCAATTCCCAGAATTCCCCAGCTACCAAGGTTGAGAAACACTGCCTTACAGTACAAATCAGTCCGTCTCTCTTGGTTCTAAGAAAAAGGTACTCTGCTTCTCTACCAGAAATATTTTATTTGGAGTTGCATAAATAGAACTTGAGATTTCTGCACAAATTAGACACTCTACCATTGAGTTATAACCTCCCCACAACTTCAGTGACTGTAACTTAATACTGAACACTTACATCAATAAACGTTAAGCAAATAGCCCTAAATTTGCTAAACAGAACCAGCCTCAACTGGCCAAGTACAAATATACTATTTGCAAAATACAGCGTTTTAATTTAATAAATTTAATGTAAACATCTAATGTTGATTAATATGATAGTTATAAGTTACTATGAAAGTATACAATAAATCTCAGTAATATATATTATGTACCTATATTAATGAAATTATTTATCTAATACGCAGACTATCACAAAGATATACGAGAGTATAAAGTCATCATTAAAAGCATATGTGATCTAAAACATAAAAGACTGTAAACAATGCAGTCCTAGTTTTAAAAAACCCATAAACATTTTCAGCCTAAACAAACATTTTCTATGTGTTTAAAAATACAGCTTCAAAATAATGGATTTTTCAGTGCAATCAAGACCCATGCTTGCCTGAGAACAATGCAATCAAGGGTTAAGATAATGTCATTTGTGGTAGGATTTGTGACTTGGTGACATCTGCACCACTTAGATATTTTTGCCACCTTGGGTTGACCATTCAAACAAAAAATGTCAATAGCAACAATAAAATGAATGTATTAAGATCTTATAGGACGTTAAGATTCAAACGGATAGACATCTTGTTCATAACATGTCTGATATAACAGTTATTGAAAACCAAAAAGTCTGGTTCATTGATGTACCTACGTATTCCGGGTGATACTAGAAATAAAACAATTGGAAAAAAATAAGAAATATTGGGACTTGTATAAGAAATCTGTTATTATATCAATCATGATTGAAGCCCATGGACTTCAATCAAGGACTTCCTTGATATCTGAAAATACTAAATTTATTAGATCCGAATACCCTATTTTTTAAAAAAACACCCTACTTGGAACTGCCCATATTCTTAGATGCTACTTAGTAATTTTTAGATCCTTGGTTAGGGCTTCAGTTATTATGTTTCCACCAGTCTTAGACTGAGAATCCAACTGCAGGTTATAAGTTTTGATTGTTTACTTTAACATCTCTAATTAAAACTATTGATTCCCAACTCATTTCTCCTAAAGTGCTGTGATTGCAAATGTTTTTTCCTCCTATTGCAAAAGAAGAAAGCAAGCAAAGCAGTAAATAAATTCATGACAGCAATATTTCACAGGAAGCAATCACCCAAGAGAGGCAAGAACAGAATTGCAGAGGAGAAGCAGCAGATAAACTATTATCTACCATGCTTATGTCACTAATGGCAGTATAATAGTTTAATTCAGGGACAGATAAAGTCCTGATAGAGCAAAGGAAATATTGATCTGGAAGCTGAAAGTTTAGAAGAGGGAGGGGGAGGCACCAGCCATCTAAAGTACAGCACACAGAACTGTTTGGCATTCCTCCTACTCTGAGAATTGGACACATCACCATTCTGGGCAGCAGCATTTAGTAGAGCATAGATGCCCTTTGAAAGCCAGAAGAAGCTTTGGGACTCCTGGAGACAAGGTAGATGAGCAAGATGAACAAAATCAGTGACAAGCCTGTCAAAAGCATGCTAAATGGGAAATAATTCCAAAGTACATATCAAACTGCAGTTAGAAATTGAAACAGGCCTTGCAGGTTTTCCTCCCTGCACATCCTAGCATTTGTGGTTTTCCTTCGGAATTTAGGATTCCTGCAAGAACAGCGCGAGTCTTCAGCTTCTTGAAAGCGCGCTGCTGGATTCAGTATGGAGCTATTCCCAGAGATACTTTCCTACAATTACCACGCGTCGCAAGGCTTTTTAGAAACCTGTCCTCCAACCGACCTCTATGCGGTGACGACGGGGCATGTGTGTTAATCCAAAATATCAAACCGACAACCCTACTAAAGAGTGCCTTCTCAGTTTCTTACATTGCTTTTTCGTCCTCCCAACAGCCTGGCGTGGAAATAAAAATGAGTATTTACTCATAAGTCTCCTAGGGAGGGAGTCCGTTTTAGTTCATGTAAGAAATGGGTTCTTTTGTGCAGTAAATTACTCATTTCTTCCATGCGGAGCCCCTCAGCTGCATGTTCTTGCCCTTAATGCGCTCCCCCCCCCGTCCCACAGCTGTGGGGAGTTGCTGTCATTTTCGTTTCCGAGAAAGGAAGGGGGCAACCCACTTAGATTTGACACGTAACGATACGCGTGGACAAGACCAAAAATATCGCTTCTAAACACCGCTATCGCGCAGCGGAAGGAGGGAGCGCTCTGATTTTTACGCTTGCAGTGAAGGGGCTTTACACCAATTTTGGGCATGCATGAACTCCCGATTCCAAGCTGATCTGTTACCTATGCATCTAAATAAATACCTGGTACCCGAATCCCCAGCTCCCCTCAAACTTCTAAAGGAAAACTTGCTCCCTTTTCTACTCACTTCCCGCTACTTTGCGATACCCTGCGCAGCTATCCCAGAAATCTTCCTACTTTGGAAAGGTAGTTACGAACCCTTGTCCGAATTTTCTTCGTCCAACTTCTAAGTCTTTGAAAAATAGTCGAAAACGGCAAAAGAATTCCTTTCCAAAGTAGGTCGTCCGAAATTGCCTATTGATTCCCCGAGGGCAGCCCCAGACGCCTATTGCTTGCGTCGGTGTTGCTAACTGAAGTCGTGGCACTGCGATTAATGCATTAATCAATACGCCTTCCCCCAGGGCCGGCAGCGACAGCTTCTCGGCTCCTCCTCTCTCGACTTCCAGAGCTTTGGGAGGGGAGGCGCTCTGGACGGGTGTCACGGCTGCCAATCAAAGGTATCCCAGCCCAGCGAGCAGAAAGCGAAAAAAGCGGCTGGAGCTGGAGGCGGAGCAGTCGATGGAGCGGGGAGGAAGAGTCGGGAATTTAACGGGTTAAGATAAATAACGGGGGGGAGGGGCTCATGGCAAACAAAAGGAAAGTGCCCTTAGACTAGAGCAAGAGCAGAGATGGATAGAAGTCTCCCGGCATTACTGCTTTAAAGAAATCTTGAACAAATTCGGTTCTAGTCTAGGACAACTAAATGGAATAGAAAAGGAACACCTAGAGTAGTGTTTCTCAATTTCAGCAACTTTTAAGATTATTTATTTGTATCCCACTTTTATTATTTTTACAAATAACTCAAGGTGGAAAAAATATCCACCAAACCTTCATTCTCCTATTTATCCCATCACAACCCCTATTCTGTTTGCCCCTGCCTCATTCTATTAACACCGGTTGAAATTCCAGGCATTCCTAAGGGAGGAGGGAGTTTATGGCTTTATGACGGAGAGAGAGAGAGCAGCTTAATTGCTTAATTGTCCTTCCTTGACGACCAGTTGCTAAGGTAAGTGAACAAAGGGACGGGAAGAATTTTATTGCTCTGGAAAGGGCTCCTTAAGCTAGCAAACTCATGAAGAAGAAGAAGACGTGTTGTTTCTTCGTTACTCTTTAGACATAAAGACTTTAAACACTCAAGTTTCAAATCATTGATTTGCATTAGACAGGGTGGGAGACAGGCTTCAATCTTTCAAGGAGAGAAGAGTGCATAAGGCTCTGCCTGAACTTTAGAAGCAGTTTAAACAGTTCTTTTGTAAACGTAAATAGCTCTGCAGGCAGTCTGATGAAACACTCCTCTCACGTCCCCAAGCTTTGAAATTGCTACGGGGGGGGGGGGAAAGGAGGGGGAAATCTGCCCACGCTCTTTGATTTTAGAAACGCAGCCTTCACAGGCAAGAGTTTTGTTGTTTTAAAACTTGGCTTGCAGAGATGACAGTAAATAACAAGACAATGCTTCTGAATTACACCTTCAGTCACTTCTAGTTACTTTCACATGCAAGAGAGTTTGCTTGCTTCTTTAAAATGTAGATCAGAGGAAAATTAATCTCATCAAATTGCTATTGCTGGAGATCAGAGGAGAATTAAAAATGTCAATTTACTATTCTGTTTCTGGACAGGAAAGTTGCTTCTATTCCAGTCTTTAACAGATAGATAACTCAGAAGAACAAACAAGAGATAATTGCTTTATTCTGGGGATCCTAGACAAAACTTACAGTTTGTAGAGGTGCTTCCAAAATAGGTGGTTCAGCAATCTGTTTGTCCCACAGGTAAATTGACATTAGATTTTCCTCTCTTCTCCCAAGCGTCACATGGTGGGGTGATCGTGGAGTCTGCAGCCGTGTGGCTGCATTGTGATGGTCAAAGAACAAAGGGCTGCCCTCAGGCTAGTGTCCAGGGATGCCTTTGAAGCTCCGCCCCTTGACCCTTGCTCCCTCCCCCTGACCTGTTACATAGAGTTATACAAGATACATAGAGTTATGGTAAACATAGAGTTATACAAGGTTAAATGGATCTATGATCCAGAACAACCCCCATTAGGAGAGTTCAGGGCTTTTTTTTGTCATAGAACGCACGGAACGGCGTTCCGGCACCTTTTTTGGGACGGAAGAACCGGTTCCTTCTAAGCTGTCAGCACGAGTACAGGTATGGCTGCAGAGCGATTTTGCGGGCCCCCAGCGGCCTGATCTGGGCTCTGGAGGCCTTTTCCAAGCCTCTGAAGCCCAGATCCATGGCCGTGGAGCGATTTTGTGGGCCCCAGCAGCCTGTTCTGGGCTACTGAGGCCTTTTTCTGGGGGGCCCTGCAAAATCGCTCCCTAAAGCGGTTTCTTCTCCCCCCCCCCCCGCTCTGTAAAGAGCTTTCGACTGGAGCCGGAGCTGTGCATGAGTTCCAGCACTTTTTTTTTTTTTTTTTACAAAAAAAGCACTGGGAGAGTTGGGCTGAGAGACCATGACTGGCCCACCGACCCAGCTGGCTTTCATGAATAAGGTACTGAAACTGCCTTCTGCTTTCTAGCCTGGTGCCTTAACCACCACATAAAACTGCCTGTGAGATACATGGACTTCAACTCCCAGAATTCCTCAAACAGTATGCTGGGAGTTGAAGTCCATATATTCTAAAAGTTGGCTTGGTTCTTTGAGGAAGAATTTTGTCTTGAAGTTCTTTTAAGGGGTTTCATCTATCGAACCCATGACCTCAAAACTACCTTTCTACCTTAACCACCTTGGGGTCCTGAGCTCCAGTCACCTTCCCTAAGTTGGGGGATAAGCTGACAAAGACTCAGGGAAGATCTAAGCATGGAGAAGAAAGAAGTACCTGTAACCAGCACCCTGGCCATGGCGACTGCCTTAGCAGAGGGAGCGCAAGCCAGCACACCAGCGGAGAAAGAAACATTTGATGCCTAAAAGCAGGGGGCAAGACCAAAGTTGCGAGAGCTGATCTGGTCCTCAGAGTGGACCCTGCCAAGTGGAGACTCCAAGCACCTCGAGGCAACCCTGCCAAAGGCAAGTTCTTTGAAAGCATCCGAAGCCAACTTGAAAGCAGGAGCCTCTCGAGAATCGCGTTCCTTGGATCGTTGGGGAGCCAATAGATTGGCTACCATTGAGGACTTTGGAGAATGGAAGTACCTGTCTGCAGTCCGTAGCCAATCAGTGGAGAAGTTGGTGGAGAGATTCAAGAGGCTAGAGGTGAGTGGAGAACAACTTTCTCTTCGCATGCAAGTGAACACGATGATTGGCAGACCCGATGCCTAAGAGAAGCCCCAGACCCACCAATGGAGTACAGGCAGCTTCCCTATCCTCGAAGCTACCAGCATTAACCTCCAGCCCCGTGAGAAAGGAAAGCCCTGGCCACCACTCTGAATGTGGCAGTTCAAAACATTGTTGCTCCTCTAGGACTCCAGATTGCCACTCATAACACAAGAGCCCAGCCAGCAGAGAAGCCGTGGTTGGCGTTGATCATCATGATCCCTCGACAGGCACCACCACCGTAACAGTTCCAGGGGCAGGATTATGATGACAGCCCTGTCGAGCGGCCCCAATACCGAAGCCTGAGCCACCACGAGCGACTTTTGATGGCAATCCGGAGAAGCTGATCTTCTTCCTTAATCAAGTACGTTCCCACATGAATCACAATGCCAATTTCTACCTGAATTCAGTTGTTACGGTCGACATGGTTGCAGCCAATTTGGAAGGGGAAGCATCTGAGTGGCTAAACAATCTGTACAATGAGAAAGCGCCAGAACTGGGGAACTTCCATCTCTTCCTCCTTGGATTAAGAGCCAGGTTTGAGGACCCATCCATAGCCCTCAAAGTGGAGAAACAAATTCACAATATAAAGCAAGATGGTAGACCTGCATTGGAATACGTATGAGAGTTTCGCAAGGTAGTAGATCGGATAGAAAGGTGGCCTGAGCAGTCCCTAGTGCACCACTTCAAAGAGGGGCAAGATGATTACCTTTCTCAGGCCTGTGTCTATCGGGCTGTCCCTAATCAATTGCAGGAGTGGTATCAGGCAGCAATAAGGTTGGATGTCGAGCTTGTTCACTATAAGAAGCCACCACCTCAGGAAGCCGGGCTGAAACAAGAGCAGACCAGGCGGCCGCCTCCCCCAAAATCCCCAACCATCACGGCTGCGGAGTCCCCCAAGCCACCTGCTGGTCCACCAATCAAGTGCTTCAGATGTGGACAACAGAGGCACCGAGCAACAAATTGCCCGATCCCATATCCCCAACAGGGAAGCAGATCGGGACCACCGGTGAGGAAGAAACCAGCTTAATAGCTGGCGAAAGAAAAATCAAACTGGATCACACAAGAACCCATTTCCCAGGTCACCTTGCCCACACAGGAGAGCACCGAGGCCCAAGCTGGACCTGCTACTGCTCTGCCCTCCTATGACAGCGATGACGAAGGGGAGAATGACCCGATGGTGAGTCGATCCATTCCACTTTTTTCTCTCGCTGCCAAATTCATAGTCCCTAAGACAGGTGTACAAGTGGATTTGAGAGTTCTAGTGGACTCTGGATGTTCCCAGTGCATTATCAGCTTGCCACTTGCCCTTAAGATGGGTATATGGGCAAGATTGCTTTCCAAGCCTGTGAGATTTGAACAAACAGATGGCTCTTTAATGGGAAGAACTTTAGTCACACAACTGACAGAGGCTATACGCTTAGAAATAGGTGAACATTGGGAGTTCATTCGTTTCATGGTGGTTCCGAAGATGACTGAGGCTATGATTTTAGGTCTAGCCTGGTTAGACAAATGGAAATCTTTTATTTGGTAGGAAAAGGCAATGAGGACTGTGAGATTACCCATAGGGCCCAAACCCCTTCTTGATTCAGCTGTTACTGGAGAGTCTAGGGCTAGGCCATTCACCGAGTTAGCAAAGATAGCTACCATGCCCCAGCCAGGAGAACCACTCGTCCCCAATGGATCTTGCGGAGGTATTTAGCGAGAAAGAGTGCGATGTCCTGCCACCCCACCGGCCCAATGACTGCCCCATAGAACTATTACCGGGCGCTAAACTCCCAAAGCCGAGAATGTACGCCATGACCCCCCTCAAAATGGATGAACTGCAGCAATGTGTGTCAAGAGGATTCATTGAGCCGGCCAAATCTTAAGTGGGGGCCCCCGGTGTTATTTAAAGAGAAAAAAGACAGGTCGCTTCGTCTCTGCATAGACTATAAAGGGTTAAATTCTGTAAGCATAGAGCAGGGCTTTTCAATCTTTTTACCTATTGTACCACTTTTAGGATATGACAATATTCGAGTACCTCCTAGCAAGGTGTCAAAAACTTGATGACCAAAAAAAAAACCTT